TATACCTCAGTTCATCCCTAACAGCTGAGTGTATACCGCGATCTGTGAGGAGTTGTGATTCTGTTACAGAATTATTTCATCTGTTAAGTGTTAAGTGGGAAGTGTTGAAGGTTTTGTATTGCGAAGAGTGTTGCAGAAAATTTAGGAAAGGTAAGTTATAGTAATCTTTATAAATATATACAGCATGATGCAAACAACTCGGTGATTTGTACGTGGCAGAGTCATGGTGCAGTTATATTATAGTTAAAGCTCGAATAGATTGGCTCAAGGACCACGCTCTCACAGAATACCAACGTTAAATAGTAGCTTAATACTGCTGGGTTGCATGTGGTGAGTGTAGAGAACTGGAGACCCTTTTTACTTTTCACGGGTGACAACGAATTTGCATTTTGATTGTTTATTGGATTTTGACATTTTGATTGTTTTATAGATGTGGATGTCTATGAGCCACAGCATCCCCCTACCATCAGGTGGACTGTTTGCTCGTTTGACACCCTATCCCATAAAAAAATTACAATATTTACTAACTATCTGACATATTGTAAAGTGAAAATTGGTGACATTACGAGTATTATGTACAAAAAGTTAAAAGAGTTCTCGACTAATAAATGTTACTATAATATTATTGAATATTTTATAAATAATACATAAAATATATTGTTTATACAAAATATAACTCATTTAAATTGAATTATATTTCAATAAACCACATGACATTTTTATAATTAATTAAATACGCCCCTAAATTGCGTGCCCAACAGGGTCCATAACACCGGTCTCACATTATTTTATAACATCTTATGTACCGATATTTTAATTTAGCCATAGACTTATTATACTACTGCATATTGACCGAGTCATTGAACAAACAAAATGGCATCGACTCATTGGTCCGAAACAGTTTATGGAGCACCAACGACGACGAAAAGCTACGTCCATATTTTTTGTTACAGACAATTTTTTTTCCTTTGACAGAAAAATTCGATTTGTCAAAATCAATTTCTATATCTCCTTGCTGTTGGGTCGTAACTTATAGAGACGCGTTAAATTTAAGCAATTCGAAACTGCAAGTACTATTTCTAATGCGTTTTAAAGTTTTACGGGCATCGTGTGTTTTCAAGAAACATTTTACTGTATCTCTGTTGGATGCGGTAGTGGAAGTTTTCAGCACTGACTTGAGCACACTAACAGTGGGGACTAAGTTCCTGGGAAAAGACGTAACTAAAGCTTATAGGAGATAAGGTCAGGAGGCAAGTCCTTGCAATATGGTTGACTTAGTGTTGAGCACTTACAACATGCCGGACCTCACATAGCTAGAGTCTTGGCTATGTTCTACTCACTGTGTGTGAGCCATTCCTACCCGCCCGCGGAATTGATGAAAACTGTGCTGGTACCTGTAGTAAAGAATAAAAAAAACGACGGATTGCACTCCGGGAGTGCCGGCAGAAGTGAAAACTTGAATATTAACGTTGTGCATTTTTGATATTTTAGAATGATTAGGGAATAATTCTGCACGAATTGCTTTAATTATCAATATAAAAGTACTATCATTTATATGGTAGAATACAATATTTATTTATTGCGCTACACAAACATGACTATTTATATTACATTAAAAAGTTTATCTCCCATCATCCCATTTTACCCATTACAAAAAAGTGTACAACGCCGCTAAAGAAGTTTTCGTCTTACGTATTTTCGATAAGGTCACGTGTCCTAACGCGAGTTTAAAATTTTTTACCCATTACAAAAAATTTCGTTATCGGTCATCCACTGGAAGCGCTATATTGTGTCTCAAGCAAGCCGTCACATACTACACTGATCCTGAGTCCTGTTTCCTCAACTTATCAAAGGCCTGTGACCTGGTGGCATATAACCTGCTATGGGACAAGCAAGAACTCATCAGCATGCTCCAGTACTGGTACGCAAACCAGTCCAATAGTGTCAAGTAAGCGGAGGTAATGTCAGATCCGTATATGCTTGAGTGTAGAGTCAGGCAGGGCGGCTTGACATCACCAATTTATTTAATCTTTATATCAACGGGCTTATAGTAGTCAGCAGGTTGGTTTCCACGTTGACGGTGTTTCTATCAATAATCTGAGTTATGCGGACGATATGGTGCTGCTGAGTGCATCGATCTGTGGCCTGAGGAACCTGATACGTACATGCGAGGAATATACATGTGGTCACGAGATTATTATACTGGACGACCTTTTTTACCGTCTGGAAAAAATGGGGTGTAAATGTGTACGAAGTAGAAGCCAATAGCACTGATATTTAATAAAACATAGAAACAAAATTTTTTAAACTAAATAAATAAATAATTAAATATCTATCGAAATTCAAATCATATCCACCCTAACTTCTGAAGCTGCGGAATGACAAGGTCAAAGATGCCTACTAAATTTATTTTTTTATTGCCGTTCATAAAGTAGGGTGGATATGTTTTGAATTTCGATAGACTTTAATTAATAAATTTATATACTTAAAAGGATAACTCTATGTACTGATATTGATCTTAATTTATTGTTACAAAATAAACATTTTTTTGATTTTTTTAAATATTTAATTCGAAATGTTTGTTTTTATTTTTTGTAAAATATCAGCGCCATAGGCTTCTACTCCGTTCACATCCTATTTTTTTCCAGACGGTAAAAAATTTCATCCAGTATAATCTCAGGAAGAGTCAATATATGATCTTTGAGACCGCTGGTGTGAAATGTCCCGCTAATATACCCCAAAATTAAATTAAATGATGTACCCCTGGTAATGTTTGAAGAGTTTAAATATCTGGGGCATTTAATCACCGTCGACCTGAAAAATCACCCTGATATGGATCGGCAGTAGAGGGCGCTATTTGTCGTGAATTTAATTTAATTTTGATTATATTATTTTATATACTGACATTACTGTTTATTTAAATTGACTGTTTGAATTTTGTTATTTTGTTTACGAGGTACGTTACGTATACGTATCTCGATATTTAAGTAAGAGAGTTAGTTACCCAGTTTAATGTACATAATATTTAATACATATTATACTAATATTAGATTTAATATTAATTTTATGTTCTATATAACAGAGAAAGACAATAAATTCCTTAACTAAATGGCTTAAATCATTAGACTACGAACATACAGAAAAACTATTTGAACGTATTATTTAAATATACACTACACCCTTACACACTTACACACCACACATATACACACAACCGACACATTAATATCACTTAATAGACCTACCTACCTTAATTAGTATTTAAAACAGGTTTTTCTTTTTATGTACACCTAATATCTTTTGATAATTTTTAAACTGTTTCTCCAAACTGAACAAGTCTATTTTAATGTACTTTTGTTTACAAGTAGTTGTAATCTTTATTAAGAGTTACAGCAATATCATTTCTGTTGACGGAGGGGCCTGGTGATCCAATAGCACAGGGCAACCTAGTTTGGGCACCAGTCACCCACCTAGATCTTATTTAGTTAGTATTTATAGCTGTTATTTAGCTGTATAAGTTTACTATTACTTAGTAACATAACATAACATAAAACACTCACGCCTGTCACCCAGAGTGGTAGGCAGAGACTATAGATTTCCATTTGGAACGATCATGACACACCTCTCGCGCCTCCTTCACATCCATACACCTACGCATACATGCTCGTCGGTTAAGGGTACTCCTAATTTGGCCCGTTTTCAATAAATCGCCAATTTGGTTGATCAAATTTCGCCTAGGACGTCCCTTTCCGACTCTGCCATTCACTTCTGCAATATAAATTTTCTTTGTCACTCTTTCCTCATCACTCCACATGACCAAACCATACTTAGTTTATTGTAAATAAACAAAACACATATGATCAGTACGATCATATGTGGGAGAAAATAAATACTAAATAATATCTATTATAAATTTTATGTTCTTAGTGATTACCTACTGTTACAAGTCCACTGATGCATATAAGCCTCCCCCATTGATTGTCTCACAGGGGGATATTTACCACAGTTGCCACGCGGTTTAATGATAAAAACAGCGGTTGCCAACCCGCTGGGCTGGCCAAGCGGGTTGGCAACCGCTGTTTTTGTCATTAATCGTTATTACGAAAGCGCTGCTGCCTATCTGCTGATTCGTTTCCCTCTTTCGCCTCTTACGACACTCACGAGACGATTCGGGGCAGTGGATATCCTCACTCTGCCGCTACACGCTAACTTACTTATCTTGGTGATTATAAGTTGTAAAATAGGTACTAAGTTATGTACAGCGATTGCTCGCGAGTTGACTCATGTGGCTCCGACAGAATCAGCGCTGTGGTGACCCGGTTGCTGTAGCAGTATGCTAGGTCGGTGGCCTTTTTGTTTGCTGAACTTTAAAATTTTTTCAATATTTATTTATTTCAAACAACAAGCATCATAGGGCAAAGTGACATTCATTTAATTCAATTGTAATACTAAAATTAATTATATCAAATGCGTAAGTTCTATAACAATATTGAAAATATACCCAATAATAATTTGTTAATAATAAAATAACATGAATCGATGTCACCGTTACATACACCATACCAGACTTAATTATATATTAACAACACCACCAACAAAATTTACCATAATGATATAATAACAATAACTAATAATTATCTTTTTTAAATACAAAGAAAAAATCTTAAACATATTATGTTAGCAAATGTTAGTAATACCTGGGGTGTCTGTCCGAGGCAATGGGTCATGAAGCCATAGATACAATATACATGAACCCAGTGCCTAAAAAAAGCACACTCAAGTTTGTCACTAATTACTTAATATTTATTAATTTAATGAAGTATTTTTCTCGTTTGTAAAATTTAATTTTCTGAAATTGGAAGCAATAAATAAATACGTTCTTTCTTTATGATATTTTTCTCATTATAATTTGTATGTCATATATTCTTCAAACTGGACCCAATTTAACAACAAGAAAGGTAAACTCCGCACCGGCTTCTCGAACGCGACCTGTCAGTCATATGACGTCTGACAGTTTGTAATAAAACTGCCTTTGTGACAGTGACAGCGTCGCGGTGAGGTTGGATTAAATGGCGCGGGATTTTGGCGGCTGCCGCGGACGCCGCGGGGGGCGCGAAGATGCGAGATGTAGGGAAGCCGGGGTACGGTGATTTTTAGCTAAAGGTTACCGAATTTGTAATAGAGAAAATATATATATATGCAGCATTTATATTCAGTAATTTTAATCTGGAAGTAGCCGCGGTTGGTACTTTTGATATCTTTAGAATATAATTGGATGGATTGTTTGTTGTTGCTAATTTAATGATTTAATAATGATTGATTTTGATGTGTTAATTTTGTATAAATATAATTTCTAAGAATAAATAAATTTGCATGTCTCCATTAGAGACTTAGTGTGTATGCATAGTATTTAATAGTATATCATGTAACATACATACTAAATAGCAAATAAATAAATAAATAAATAAATAACTATGACATTGGGACGTCTAAAACCTTCAGTCCCCCCGTGAACATGGGTTCTGTAAAGTTCTCGGAACTTCGGAAATATATAATAAGTTAATATAAGCGACATTTTTTATAGAATAGGGGCGATAAACGAGCACATAATCCACCTGATGGTAAGTGGTTGCTGTGGCCCATAGACATTTATATTTATCCTCGATAAAGAATCAAAACGCAGATGCATTGTCTTCCCTGAGAACCAAGATGGAATGCCTCGTTTCCAGTAAAAAAGGGTCTCCAGATACGATACGAAAAACTGCAGTATTAAAGCTGTTATTTTAGGCTGGTATTCTGTGAGAGCGTGCTTCTGCTCCGGTCGAGGCGACCCATTCGTGCTACAACCATAATATAGCTGCAGCGTGTCTCTACCACGTATTAGCCCTTCAATCCCCATAAAAATCCTATGCAGTCGCATGCGTCCATCAAATCCCGAGCGGTCGCATGAGACCGCACCTACCCACAGCAATTTAAACCATTAAACCTTATATTTAGAGACTACATTTCTATGAAGAAGTTTGGCATTATATAATCTATATAAAATTCTCTATCCTGTGGTCTAGACAAAAGTCAGGTTTTATTTCATTACAAAAAGACTATTGTATTTTGATAAAAAAACCAAGTACATACCAAGCGGATATCGGCAGCATGGAAGTCACTATTATATTTTTATATATCACTCGATATTATTAACATAGAAAGATAAATTATATTCACACAAAAACTTTTATAACAATTTTATAATAAAACACTATAGTAAAACATTAATAAAACACTACAAAAATCAACACAACGTTTACATACAATACATATAATAAGGTTGCATATAATAAGGTATGTAACAGTAGTAACAGCCCTTAGTTTTAATTAGTTTAATTATTTTAAATTAGTGTAAATTTAATTTTCTATTTTTAAGTTTAAGTTCTTAAGGATCATAAAATTTACAGTAGTCACATATAATGTAAGAGGGTGATGTATTCGTCAACGAACTGCCCTGCAGGTAGGCGAAAGTTCTATAAAGAACAACCGACTATATTTTTGTGTAATAAATAAATTAAAAAAAAAAACAACATTCAAATGAAAATGGCGTACGTAATGAACGTAGATTATAAATAAATATCGATAAACCAACTCACTTTTTACTGCACTGGAGGATTCTATAATGCCAAACTTCTTCAAATGTTAAATGTTTAAAGTGCTGTGGGTGTGCGCGGTCGAATCCAACCGCTTGGAATTTGACGGAATATCGTCTTGGTCGCATCTGACCACTTGGGGTTTGAGAGGTTAAAAACTAGTTTTATTTAAATTTATATCCAACTAGCGCTCCGCCCCGGCTTTGCGCGGGTGTTTTCTGAATCCCGAAAGCAGCGCCACCTACCGGTTCAATTGTGAATCTAACCCATCTGAAACTTCTCAAACACACAAGAAATTTAATTAAAATCGATCGTTCTCAAGTAATGATCTCTCATGGTCGCGGCCATTGATTTTTATTTACTCAGATTAATAATAATTTGGCAAGTTGGTACTCCTTTTTACCTGGTGTGGAGAGGAGTAACCCTCTGACTCGTTTTCACCGCCCAGCATCAGTGTCTGCACTAACGTGCTCCCGTATATAAGGTAGACTTTTTAACTTCTCGCTATGAAAATCAATGATTTTCAAAAAATGGGCAAGTTATTGTTTTCACCCTGGTTTTCAAAAACCGAGCTCTCATGATATTATGACGTTTCGAGGTCCTAGCAAGCTATTCTTGCTGATTTTGCGATGACGTCCATATGTATGTGTGTGTGTGTGTGTGTGTGTGTGTGTATGTAAACAAGTAAACATCTAATAACTTTGTAACGGAGTGGTCCATCGAAAAGCACTTTGCAGAATCTGATAGAGCCTTGGTGATGTTAGTTTTTCTGTAAATTTAGATAGAATCGTCAGGGTAGATTCTGAGAAAACCTCGTATTCAAGTTTTTTCATTTTCAGAAGGTATTTTTCTTAGAATTACTTCGACATCCCTGTTTTGATCAGTTATTTACTTTAATAACCTCTACTCAAAAAAACAACATCGATTGGCGTAAACCACATTAAAACCGATTGATTCGTTCGTGAAATATACAGTTTTTAAAAAATATTAAAAGTGGCTTTCCAAATTACGACGCTCGACGCTTCGAGTTCAAAACTGTCATAGTGTAATTTGGAGCTTTTTGATATTAAAGCTAACGGTGCGTTCCTGGGACGGCATTAAAACTAACGGTGAGTTCCGGACGGCATTAAAACTAACGGTGAGTTCCGGACGGCATTAAAACTAACGGTGAGTTCCTGGGACGGCATTAAAACTAACGGTGAGTTCCGGACGGCATTAAAACTAATGGTGAGTTCCGGACGGCATTAAAACTAACGTTGAGTTCCGGACGGCATTAAAACTAACGGTGAGTTCCGGACGGCATTAAAACTAACGGTGAGTTCCGGACGGCATTAAAACTAATGGTGAGTTCCGGACGGCATTAAAACTAACGGTGAGTTCCGGACGGCCTGCGGGCTCAACCAATTGTTTATAGAATAAGTGTGACAAACGAGCACACTGTCCATCTTATAGATTGTAAATATTTAGATACGGTTGCCTACAGACGTTTACAATTATCCTCGAATAAGAATCAAAATGCAGATTCATTGTTACCCCTAATAACTAAGATGGAATTATAGATGGATGGATTATATAGATGGAATTATTCCCCGCCCGGGGAAGGACCACGCTGGCATAGATTATCAGAATAAAATAGCAGCATAATGCTGTTGTGGTTCCTATTTGGTGATGAGAATCGGGGGTACTTTTACTGGTAACTATACATTACATCTTAGTCCTCTTGGGTGATGAATTTTATTTGAGATTGGATATAGGTATATATGGACCACAACACGAACTTGTCAGGTGACTGTGTGCTTTTTCTTATAGAATAAGGGTGTCAAACGAACACACAGTCCACCTGATGGTAAGTGGGTGCTGTAGTCCATAGACATCTAAATTTATCCACATAGTATATTCTCGATTAAGAATCGAAATGTAGATACGTTGTCATTCCTAAGGACTAAGATGGAATGCCTCGTAACCAGTAAAAAGGGTGTTCTGTTCTCTGCACTTACTATATAATGCCTTGTTTCTAATAAAGATAGTCCCCGGTTCTCTACACTCAACGTACGAAACACATAAGCTTTCCCTGGTTGAGCCGACCCGTTCGTGTTACAAACAGTTTTTTTTATATGAGCTAGGGCTAACGATCATGGGGCTTATATGAAACACCAGGGGAATTGTATATGTTTTGCTGGCTATTTAAAAAGCGATTTCGATAGTTGTGCGAGGAAGAAAATTTCTTGTAAATAGTACAGTGATGGACGGCCTATCATCCAGATGGTATAAATGGTCACAACGAAGATCGAGATAGTATCGCGATGTGCAATGGTGAAATGAGCGGCTGGAATTAATACGAAAAAGTCCCCTGGGCACATCCCGCAGTAGATGCAGTAGAATACGCAAAGAGATGCAACATCTTTTCGCAACGCCAGTGAGTCAAACCGATCAGAAGGAACTCGGTCGTCAACAATTCGAACCTCTCTGTTCTGGCTGCGAGCAAGAGGACGAAACCAGTACTTCATGTGATGCCGAACTTGTGCCTTGTAAAGTTGCAGGCGGTGTGCTGGAATGAAATACTGTCCCGTTGTGATGAGCACGCCAAGCTTTCCGGCGGCACTGTACGTTGACAGTCTCAGCTAGTACCGGAATATTCGGCGTTGACATATGTATATGTCAGCGCCGAATATTCCGGTGCTAGCTGACACAACGAGGGGAGTGCCTTGCAATAGAGGTGATACGGCACAAGGGTTCTATTTAGTAATAAACGCGAAAACTTACGTCTTGTGGGGCTTGAACTGGACTAGATTTAGCCGCCCTCAATACGAGATAGTAGAATATAGCTGCGGCATGCTCTATCACGTAAATGGCAATGACAAGTTCAAATAAAAATTAAACTGCGGTTGCCAAGCCACCCGCCAAGTTTGGCAACTATTTCAAATCCCTCCTACGAAGCAATCTATAGGGGAGTCCTATATTGAGCTGTAAGCTTTTGATATGCTGATATAAATTAATTATGAATATTTATATCTTATTAACTTTCTATTCGAGGCTCGAACCCAGGGCTACTGCCATAACCGCTGATCCCTTAGAGCCTGTATCTGTCAACACTTCGGCACACAATTAGATAACATCCCCCAATTGATTCACAATCAATTGACACAAAGAGACCCCAAACAACTCGGCGACCCTCCCGGTGGGAGACATTCGACTGCAAATTTTAGGGTTAAATGTATTTTTTTGCTTTTTCTGTGTTAGGTTGGGGCGAAGTCGAAAGTACCTACTAATTATACGGAACCGAGAATAGATATCTTTAAAACAATATTTATTTAATGATTTCTTATATTTACGCGAAAACTACACATGTAAACAAACTAGTTTTTACGGATTTTATCGCGTATATAATTTTTTTTATATTCCCGTCGTTTCGAGCCCTTCACAGCACCCATGGTTACAGGGAGGAGGGACTAAATAAATATTGAGATTTTCCCAACACGTTAATTTATCGGAATTAACAGTTAGGATGTAGTCAAAATTAATATATAGCAACAAATAGCTGTACCCCGCAACTTCGCCCGCGTGGAATTTATTACGATCGGATTTCATTTTAATTTTTTTGCACGGGACCCCAATTCTTTTTCTAAAATTTCACGGCAGGAGTTTTATTTAAAAAAATAACAGCTTACAATCATAATTCTAAAACCCTATGCACTTGTAACTGCGTAAAATAAACGCCGCTCCACCCCAACTGCGTAGAAGGGTTGACTGTTCATATTAACCGATTAACAGCAGTTCATTAATAAATGCTTTTGACTTATGATATCCTGGTACGAGTGCTTTTGATCCGCTTTGTTCGGGGGTCAACATGCCTCGCCTTTAAATACTAGATGTGGGTTGAAATTTAATTGATTTATTTATGATGTGTTTTGGTTATGGACATCGTGAGAATGTTTACAACGGCTAAGTGGCACGAGTTGCGGTGCTGGGTTCAAATCCCACACGGAACAAGTATTTATATGGCCTTACATATAATTGTTCTGGGTCTGGATGGTTTTCTTTGTGAAATATATGTATGTAAACTGCTTCCACGATCCAGGAGAAAATCCTAATGTGAGAAGTTACCGTATTGGACCGTATCGTTTATTTTTAAAACAATAAAAAATGACATGTTTCTTTTATAGGATCAGGATGACAAACGAGCACACAGTCCACCTAATGGTAAGTGATTGCTGCGGCCCATAGACATCTACATCTATTCTCGATTACGAATCAAAACGCAGATGCGTTGTCATCTGTGAGGATTAAGATGTGATGCCTCGTTTCCAGTAAAAAGGCTCTTCTGTTCTCTACACGCACCATACGAAACACAACATCACTGAGCTGCTATTTTACGCTGGTATTCTGTAAGAGCGTGGTTTCTCCCCGGCCGAGTCGACAATTATACTACTACTATAACTGTAGTATGGCCCTACCACCTATGAAATGTTGTGAGTGCTTTTTATAAAAAAATTATGTGACGTACGCTCTGTCAACACCAGGAACAAATTATGTGACGTACGCTCTGTCAACACCAGGAACAAATTATGTGACGTACGCTCTGTCAACACCAGGAAAAAATTATGTGACGTACGCTCTGTCAACACCAGGAACAAATTATGTGACGTACGCTCTGTCAACACCAGGAATAAATTATGTGACGTACGCTCTGTCAACACCAGGAACAAATTATGTGACGTACGCTCTGTCAACACCAGGAACAAACTATGTGACGTACCATCTGTCAACACCAGGAACAAATTATGTGACGTACGCTCTGTCAACACCAGGAACAAATTATGTGACGTACGCTCTGTCAACACCAGGAACAAACTATGTGACGTACGCTCTGTCAACACCAGGAACAAATTATATGACGTACGCTCTGTCAACACCAGGAACAAATTATGTGACGTACGCTCTGTCAACACCAGGAACAAATTATGTGACGTACGCTCTGTCAACACCAGGAACAAATTATGTGACGTACGCTCTGTCAACACCAGGAACAAATTATGTGACGTACGCTCTTTCAACACCAGGAACAAATTATGTGACGTACGCTCTGTCAACACCAGGAACAAATTATGTGACGTACGCTCTGTCAACACCAGGAACAAATTATGTGACGTACGCTCTGTCAACACCAGGAACAAATTATGTGACGTACGCTCTATCAACACCAGGAACAAATTATGTGACGTACGCTCTGTCAACACCAGGAACAAATTATATGACGTACGCTCTGTCAACACCAGGAACAAATTATGTGACGTACGCTCTGTCAACACCAGGAACAAATTATGTGACGTACGCTCTATCAACACCAGGAACAAATTATGTGACGTACGCTCTGTCAACACCAGGAACAAATTATATGACGTACGCTCTGTCAACACCAGGAACAAATTATGTGACGTACGCTCTGTCAACACCAGAAACAAATTATGTGACGTACGCTCTGTCAACACCAGGAACAAATTATGTGACGTACGCTCTGTCAACACCAGGAACAAATTATGTGACGTACCTATGTCCAGCAGTGGACGTCTTGCGGCTGACACGACGATTAGATAAACAATATTCCTGCTGAGAGATTTTTGTTTAATATAAAGTCAATAATAGCTCACACCTCAGGAATATTTTTTATCTCTATCGCAATCGAAAAGTGATAGGTGATAATCAGTACTAAGGAAAGTAAGAAAACAATAGGTACTAAAAACGAAAGAAAAGCAAGGAAAGTTGTTTATACCTGCGTGAATTACTATCCAGGGCTGGCCTGCACTAGCGTTTTTTCTTAGGCCTGGGACAGTTTGACTTTGCCAGCACTTATTTACAGTATAATGCGAGTGTATGTATATGTATATATGTTTTATCTGTGAAAATAACTGTTTTTTTATCTGTACCCAAATCATCATTTTCTTTTAACCGCCGTAAATAGCGAGCACGCCACGCTGCTATTTCTGGTCTTTCGATTAATACATCTCGCTTACTGGCACATTTTTTAAATCGGAAGCCTAACTGTTCAGTCAAAATTTTTCGTAGAGTCTCCCGTTGACCAGGAAAATTAAGGTCTCTTTTGACAGCCACTAATAGTTTTTTCAATGTTGGCACTTCTTTGTGAAAGGTATAAAAGGATTCAATTTTGGTTTTGATAGCACAAATCATGAAGTCACCAATCTCCAACTTTTTCTTTTGTATTCGCTTTTTTCCTGGAGTAGACAGTTTTACTGACTCTGTTGGGGCTTCGCTTGAAGTACTCGGTTGCGGTTCACTTTCAACTTCAAGTCTTCTTCGTTTGGCAATCTCGTTTTCCTCTTCACGTTTAATTCTGGTCAGTGTGCGTCGACTTACACCAGTAGCAGCATACACTCGTTTGTCTACTGCTGTTATTGGAATAGTGATTCCTCTTAACTTTTCTTCCTCAAAAAAATGAAATATTCTTAATATGATGGTCCTTTCTGACCCACGGATTGTTCTTTTTTTACCCATTGTGAGATATTATGAATATAATCACCAGTATAATAATATGTTCTAGCTTCGTAACTAGTATGGTGTTCTCCTCACTAGTACCCGAGACGTCGGCCGCCGCTGCCGCCGTGAAGCTTTTTTTGTTTTGGTTGCGAAATACACACAACACAGTAGCAATTAACGATAAAGTAAACTCAAAACAAATAATAACAAAAAGTAACAAGATAACGAAAAAAAACTAATTAATAACAAAAATCCCGCACAGACAAACACCAACGCTTAGAGCAAGTATCCGACTGCGCCGATGCAGTGTTGCCGCTACTGAATTCCCAAAATAAATATACCATTGCTGAAAGTGTGTATTTTGGGTTTAAACATGTACATGAGTATTTTTTTATTTTAAAATTACCTAATGCCCCTTCTATTCACTCGTTATTTTTTAAGTTCAAATAATATGAAATTTGGATACAATACGCATGTCATGTTAAAAAGGTACGTGAAAGAGGATCAGGCACAAGTCAGAAAATCCATTCAAAACCTATATAATGTTATTCCTTACACTCATACGAGCAACATACTTTTTGAATCATTGAAATCGGTCCATTCGTTGTGTTGTGATGATATTACACGTTTTATAAACGACTACCGCGGGGCGGCCTAAAAGCCCGTGTGACGTCACAACATCTGATCCCGCCTTCATGTAAGTGAGGTTTCTACCATGAAGATAGAAGCTAACCTAGGTCACTTTACACAAAACCGGTTTCTAGTTTATTTTTATAACTCATTATTATTATATCATCGAACTAATTAATTATTATTTCACATCAATTTCTAAAACTACCCTTATTATTTGTCAGACGTAGTGAAAATTTTTTTTACTGTATATTCTAGTTTCTCAAGTTCTATGAATCTGTATTCATAACTTAAATCTTGATTCTTCTTCAATATTAGTAACCTAGTAACGAAACGACGGCAACACTGTACCGCAGAAAGTAATTATTGCGCGTCACTATGGGACGTGCGGGACGAGGTGCGGGGTACAGGGCGCGGTAACCGCATTCCTGTCATGCGCCTAATTGTTTTGGTAGTGTAGTAATTTAAGGAATTTTAAAAATAAAAATTAATTTAAAAAATAATACATTAAAAATTAATTATTCGATTATTTGAATATTTTTACCGATTGTTGGAAAATTTTTGCCGATTATTCGCATAACATATAATTTTAATCATCCAAACACCTGTACTACGGTACTACGGTAACGTACATAGAGACATATATCATTGAAACGACGTCAAGTACAAAAAGTTGATACTGATTATTTTTTAATATTTTGAAAGCTTTGTTTGAAAGATTCAAATTTAATTTAGTGAAAAAAAAAACTATACATGTTGTAATGAAATATAGATAACTTTATAATTCTTCGGATTTACGCAAATGGTTATTTTAAATCGTGTGAGTACGCTTGTGCAAAGTTATTGCTAAATGATTAATGTGAAACGTCAAAAGGTATTTCTTAGGTTTGGTTGACTATAGCAGGACAGGAGTATTGTTTGCTAAACTATATCAACTTAGTTATAACCAAAAGAGAGCAAATGATCACGGAGCTAAAACGAAGCGCGTCGCGTCTCTCGGAAATGAATCCGCACCTTGCTTCCGCCGCTATTTGCTCTCAGACGGCAATCCGCGATCAACAGGCGCGCCACCCGACGAGATAACTTCCAGAAAGATTTCATTTTTTTCTCATTGCGAAATAACCCCCATAGCTTAGTGGCTGAATAGAATAGAATTATTTTTATTCAATATCAATTACAAAAATACTTGTTGAAAGTTATTTGAGCTTTACCACTGGTATGGAAAAACCCTCTGTCCTGGGAAGAACCAGCGAGAAACGTTAAAAGTAAAAGTTACAGGATATATACGTTCCACTGCTGGGAACAGGCCTCCCCTCATTTCTAAGAGAGTTTTAGGGCAAGGAAGTGTCTGCACAGCGCTGCCCCAAAGCGTGTTGGTGAACTTCATATATATATATATATATATATATATATATATATATATATATATTTTTCAATTCTTTTTCATTCAAATATTTTTTTGCTTAATTCTCAGACATGCAGGAGACCTCGATGTTTTCCTTTACCGACAAGCATGTGGTAAATCAGCACTTAAAATTGCAATAAGCAATTTCATTGTTGCCGGCGAGGATCGAACCCGGTTTGCTCGCGTACTGTGAAATTTACAATTTACAACAATCTGAGCTATCACGGCTCTAGCAAGAAACGTAGCAGGACTTTTATATTTAGAATATAATATATTATAATATACTATACAATTAAACATGAAAGCATCAAGAAATAGCACGGTAGCGGTCACCTCGTTCCCAGGGCTATTACCAATCATGTACTCATCAGTGATATAACAACCATTACGAAATCATTTTTTCATAATAAACCGGGTACACTCTTTTTCTTTTTACATAAAGAATAAAGGTGACAAATAAGAACACGGTGTCCACTTGATAGCACGTGGATACTGTGACCCATAGTCATCTACATTTACACTTCATTATTTTTTTAAATACAGAAGTGTTGTCACCCCACAACACTAAGATGGAACACCTCATATCCAGTAAAAATCGTCTCCAGTTCTCTAGAGCCACGCTGCAGCTATATCTCGGCCACGAATCACGAATGGGTCGCCTCGACCCCGATACGACCCACTTTCACAGAATACCAGCGTGTAATAGCAGCTTAAAGGTTGACTCACACTACATCGAGTCGGGACCGAGCCGAGTATCGGCCATAGCACGGTCACCGAGCCGATCACGTACCTGATATCGACCGAGAAATTATCGTTGCGCTGTGATAAAATATACTCGTCCGAGCAAAAATAGTGTTATAATTAGACGACAATCATGTTGAAGTTTGACGATATAGAATTAGCGGTTATTGCGATCGCTCTGGACGATGAAGAATCTGATAAGTCTTCAACAAGTGTACAAGGCGGGACCGACTTGTTGCCGAGCGTGGTCCGTTGCTCGGCCGTCACTCGGTTGCCGCTCGGTATAGCGTGAGTGTGTCCGTACAAAATATATGTAATATTAGTTGAGCGTGCTACTGCCGACTCTCGGCTCGGACCCGACTCGTGTTTTGTATAGTAAATGTAGAGAATCCATCTTAGTCCTCAGGGGTGACTACAAATCTACATAATATGCAGGAAAAAATGTAGGCCACAGAATTTACACAACATCGAGTGGACTGTCACCTTGCCATTACTTCTGAAAATAAATATCGATTATAACTCTTTAGTGATAACTTGTGAATCAATATTTAAAGTTAAGCTTTAAATCGTAAAACATAAAGATATCGTATATTACGAATATTATACTTTTAATAAAACTAATTTTATGGTTTTTATGTTTCCGGTGCTTAACAGCACCCACGGATACGGGGCACTGAGATGTTTGAGGCTCAAAGCTACCTTCAGCTTTTTAATTAATTTTAGTCCGATCTAGGCAGAAGTGAGCTTACAGTGTCTTGAGGTCTTGCAGTGGTGTGCTTGGGTTTATTTTTAATTTTATCAATTAAATCTCAAGCAGATAATAGCCGCCAGCCATCTTCTCTTTTGAAATTCAGATGCTTTTTGATTGAAATCGTCTTGTTAATCAGTAATCACTCTCGATTGAGACACCTTTCAAACGAAAAAAACTTACTCAAAATTGGTTCTTCCGTTCAGGAACTATGTTATCACAGTTAGACACACAGACACGAACACACAAACACAGATGCACAGAACAAAGACACAAAAACACAGATACATGTTTTCATCAGGGGCTTAAAAACCACATACAATTTCGAAATAAAATATTTAAATTTAATTTAGTATTTATATGCTGGAGTTTTTTGACGTAAAGCTATTTACCTCCTTTCTGCGTTAGCAATTGATATTATAAATTATTCAAAGGCAGTACCAACTACTCGGCGCGCAACCACGGCTCGTTTCAAATCACTTGTTATTTTAAAAATCGTGTTTAAGATTACGCGAGATTGACGCCAGATCAATCTGTTGAGACTCGCGCGGGAGTCAATGGGGGATGCAGATGAAGTCACGCGCGCGGGGTTGCG